CTACAGAAAAGTCCAAACTTTTGGAAAAAATTTCAATAAACTCCTAAATTTTTTTGTCCAAGACCACTTTAGTTTTGAAGAAGATAAAACTGGTCAGTCAAGAACAAGAACAAGACTTGTCCAAGACCACTTTAGTTTTGTCAATTTCCCCTCTGTTGGGGGCGTGATTTTCTACGTTTTTTCTCCCCCTTATCATTCCCCTTATTCTTTGAGTTAATTCTTCTAATTTTACCTAACATTATACTTTTTAAATCAAAACGTACAACAAATGTGGCTTTAGGCTTAAAAAAATAGTATCGTAAATATAATTGTGTTCAATGTATCTATGCATGCACACACGTGGATGTTTTCATAAAATAAGACTCGATGGTAACGTAACAACCAATTAAGATAATGTATATCATACTCCATTTCTCTTACTTTGTCAACATAAAGGGGGGAAAAAAGACTTTGAAACTTTAGCAAGAAAATAGTACTGTGAAAAGAATAAAACTGATTTTAAAGTGTAGATGCTAATTCCACCGACTTTTTAAGTGCTGCAAGAAGGCTTTTCATTATTCTAGGCTCCCCCGGAGGAGACCTGTCTTTCATCGGCCCCTCTCTGATTGCTCGGAAAACCGGCGTCGAACCACCAATTGCCGGAGTTACCAGACAGTCTATGTACACAGGGACCTCAGTCACTCCATCGCCAATTGTAATGAACCCAAGCCTTACCCCTCCTTTGATTTTGTCCACCTGTTTCACATACACAATGCCTATACTTTGAATTTGAACTCTAATGGACCAAATTTCCTTATAAATGTTACGAATTTTATGAAAATTTAAACTTTGATAATTTTAAGAACTTGAGATTCAAAGCTTCTATCTGTCTACGGCTTTTGATATGCATTGGTCTGATAAGATTCAGACCATTTGATACCACAAAAATATATAGTCTTTTATATGTTTGTTACCGGGTCTGAAAAGAGGATGTGTCTCAAACAACCATAAGTTTAGAAATTGAAGGCAGATAACTAACCTTTAGAGGCATAGGAAGTGGTAATTGGGCACCTTGGCACAAACTGTTCGCCCACTATCAATAAACAATTCACACAATTTTGAGATCGAAGGTTTTGTAAATAAATCCGAGAGATTTATATGTCATTTATCCCTATCAATTATTTCGATTTTGTAGGCTGTTTTAATTTAATAAGGTTTGTAATTCTATTTTCGTGCTTTTACATCTTTTATAAAAAGGGATACTATTGATGGAATAAAATGATGTTAAGATAATCAATTTGACGATGTCATTTTTACACAAATAATTTCAATTATATCATTACTTGTAAATAAGTCAAGTTGATTTGTATTTTTGTTAAAAGCGCAGACCATTGCTTGTCGATGAAGGTAGTGATTTGGCCAATGTTACTTATGAATACGTTGATTTATTGTTTCTAACGAGTCATGTATGAAAACTAAAATTGAAACGGGTCCAACAAGTTAAAAGTCAACCAAAATATGTAAATTTGCTTAATGTATACAACTATTATATTTAAATTATTCAAAAATTTAATTATGATATATTTGTATAGTTTCAAATAATATTTTAACATTTGAATTATTTATAAAATAAAGTCGGACAATTATTGTTCCGGGACACCTATTGGTTTAGATAAAGCAAATGATACAAAAGTAACTACATTATTATTTTTTTCGATTTTGATACTCCATTATTTGTAGTTTCAAATCGAAGATTACATTTTTCAATTTTGTTCAACATTGATCATTCCATCGTAACATTTTCTGTTGTCAAAAATTGTTTATCAACATTATTTTTTTATATATTGCTTTTATAGTATAGTAAAATTTTATTTTGAATATATTTTTTCTATATATATTCATGTTTCCTAACTGATGCATGTGAAAGTTAAAGTATAATATCGTATCGTCCGACCATTTTACTGGAATATATTTTATTTAACAAATTTTGTTTATTTCTTTAATTTGTTTTTATTTCTAATTAACCGTTTTGATATATTTAGACCAAACAACTTATAATGATAGTCTTGTATCACTAATGACTATATTGTAATAAACAAAAATAGGAATCCATTTCCAGCATTTGGTTAAATAAATATCGACATCTTCAATAAAAACGAACCTATGTATAAAATCAGGCTATAATATCAGGTATATACGAATATTATTACGATTACTTGCATTTAGTGATATCAAGACCAAATAAATTGTTCAATCTAAATACACCAAAGTAATTAATTGAAAATAATAACAATTTAAACGAACAATAAAATTCATTAGGTAAAGTATATTCAATTAAATTAAAACGGTTGAGCAAGAGGATTATTTAAAAATTAACTTAAAATCGGTAAAGTTTTAATATAAAATAGTTGGAAAACACGATTACATAAAACTAAAAATATATAAAATAGAAAATAAAAATTTATATTTAATAAAAATAACATATAAATTTTAAAAAATTAAAGTTGACAAAGTGACATTTGATTTGAAAAAAAAAAAAAACACACACACACGTTAAAACCGTAAAAAAATGATAGTGTAATAATTTCCGCCGCATGTCATGTTAATTTTCAATTCCAGCTCGGTATGACAACTAATAACTGAAATGGTAATGGTTAACTAAAAATAAAATTGAAAAATATATGATTGTGTCGTCTAGAACAAAAAATTATAAAATGTTAAAATCAAAAAATTAGTTTTTAGACATTGGTTTTTGGCGCATACTTAAATTTTCTACAATACGCACCTGAAAGAGTAAGGTTTCAAATCTGTCGATATCAATATTCATAGGCAGTCTCATCGTCCCCAAAGACACTCCTTCATCATCTCCGGCTGAAATACTGTTGTTATTCGCCGGAGAAGCTCGAGGAACAGCACTACCGGAAAATTCACGGGTTAAAATCAGTCTCGAGGCCCGATTTTTGCTACTTTCCGATAACTGAAATCGAGAACAAACCAGCAGATCCGACGAAAAAGGAAGCTTCGGGCTAACGACTGTTCTTAGATGCAGGAAGAGCTGCCTACTACATACTGTAGCCATGGCCGGTGAAGTAGGATATGGTTTGCTTCGTTCCTCCACAAACACGAGGGTATAGATAATTGATAGAGTGATTTACATATATAGTCCTTCAACTATCACATAGATGATATTTCAGTCCCTTAACTTTTAAACCATCGTCTTTCTCATCTTGATTTGATTTTTAGTATTGAAAATTACGTGTAACGTTATCTTCCATAAGTTTGTTGCAATCGATTCGTTTGTGCTACATTACTGATATATATTTTTTAGAAACTAAACAACAATTTTTTTTTATATAAAAAATCTAAAAAAAGGTATAGCCAAAATATAAGAAACATGTAAGATTTGAAAGATGTGAGATGTTAAGATACAGACAGTGAAAGCAAACAAACAGAATGAGTAAAACACTCAAAAAGTGTGTGTTGGGGTGTTGTTATGAGGAAGAGAGAGTGAGAGCATCAAGTTTTGGAATGAGACTTCGCCAAGCATCAGCAATACCATTTGCTAAACGCGCTTGTCCTTTTGCAAATTCATGGAAAGCCAACCCCATGTCTTGTGTTTTCTCATCTTGGAAACGAATGATTTCTTCATTCATTAGCTTCACAATTGTCTCAAATCTTCTCGTTGCTTCTTCTCCATCAGCTTTCAGCTGCATGTGTTTAAATTTTTTTAATACAGACATGACTTAATCTCATAAGCTATATTAAAATAGAAACTAACCTCCTCATATTCATGCTCTGCATCTAACATCTTTTCGGATCGAGTTAGCCTCAATTTGTTGCTGAAACAACAATTTTATAATCAAAAATTGCTACTTCTTGCGTTTATCTCATAATCAAAATATAGAATAATGGAAATCATACAGATCAATTTCTTTTAGCTTTATTGTCTCGCTCAATTCACATTGTTGTCTGAAAGCATTAGCCCTCTCTCCTATGGTCCCCTGAAAACAAGAAAAATTCAAGAAATATATAAAATATAAAGGTCAATGACAAGCTTTTAAAATTCAAAACTTACCTTGATAGATTGCACTGCACGTACGTAATCTTTCAATGGCTCTTCAAAATTCATTAAAAGATGGTGGGCCTTCACAATATCACATGAAAAGTAATCATCAACTATTGACTTTTATTTTGTTATAATTTTTTTTAAAAAGAAATAGAAACTAACTTCTCTTTGCAGTTTGATTGATAGCATCTCTGATTTTGCTCCAAGCTCAGAGAAAGCAGTCCCAAGAGCATCTCCTTCACAAGCACCAAGGAGTTTGATTGCCTTACCAAAATCTGATAGAGATTGCCCCAACTCTGTAACAATATTACACAAATTGTGTTAAAAAGACATGAATGCCCTTCCCATCATCATTATCAAAGATTAAATACCTCTGTGTCTCTTTACTAGACGATATGCATGCTTCTGGGCTTCAGCTAAGTGATCTTCAAGCTCAAATATATATCGTTTTAATTTCTCATACTCTGGATTTGTTTCTTCAACTGGTTTTTCTTTCCCAAGAACTACATCACTCACTTTAGATTGAACATCCTGTAACATCCATAGCATGATCTTAAATTATCTGATAGATTGATTATGCATAAATAAAATACTTCCAGTTGCTTTCAATTCAATGTCATATGTTACCCTGAATATCTGCATCAAATCAGCAGGCTTCCTCTTGAAGATTCCAGTATCTTGTGACCTTGCTCTTTCCATTGTCTGCAAAACACCCAACATGTTATAAAGATCAAACTACATGCATGAAAGTAAGAGAATTGAAATATATATATATTGACATATTGTATAGTTACCTGTTCATCAGCCTGCAAGAAGGTTCGAAGGTCCTCACTGTGTTGAAGTTCATGATGTAATGCAATCCTATTGACAAATGAATCCAATGCTTGACGCCTCATCTCTATGAATTCAGCACTGAATCTGAACTTCTCTGCATTTGTGAGGTCATAGTCAGTGATTAGAAAGCCTTTAATATAAAATAAGTACCACAAATATAATAAAGGGACAGAGTGACATCTTACCTACAGTGCTCTTTTCTGGAAGTGGAGGAATGAAGATACCTTTGTACTTCTTAAAGAGACAATCTCTTAACCAAACAAAATCAGTATAACGTCTAATAACAATCTTTTCTGGGCCTTGATAGTCTGGAAAGTTAGTCTGCAGAACATGCATTTGAATGAAATAAGAGTGATACTGTTGTTTTGATGAATCAAAACAAAGTTATAATGGATGGCGTCTGAATATGTTCTTGTTTCTAGTTTTCCAATTCAATGTTATTGCAATTCAGGATTCCTAACTAGTAGCTTCATCAACTAATGACTTTTAGAGGTCTTTGTTTTCTGTACTGGTTTTTGAAGTTGAAATGAGAAACTAGCTCATGACCTAAAAGTTCAGGTTTAAAGAGACATTCACTCAATTGAAACACCCAAGTTATGAATTCAGTTCGGCAATAGGTTATCTAAACTAATCATGACATGAATTGGAATGAAATCTATCCCCGGTCAAATTACAACTAGCGATCAATATGGCAATAGTTGCAATACATGAATGAAATATGTAAATTTCAACAAAATTCAGAAGAGATCGTGAAATTACCTTGGTGATGACCTTATAGGAGATATAAGCTTGAACTCCATTGCCCATTTTAGCAGGATCAGTTACAGATACTGACAGAAACGGTGGTTGCGAAGATGGGGATCTAGGGCTCTGTAAACCCCCTCCTCCTGTATGACTTCTTTGCTGCATGTTTGTCGAAATTCAATCCAATTAGATAGTGAACTCATAGAGATTGATTAGATACGGGTACTATTTCAAGATTGTAGTTACCGTTGTGATCATGATTTTTGTTGCAATCGGATGTCAGTGGTAGAGATTTGGTCTGAAACTGATTGAATTCGTCCAGAGTAAAGAATCCGATCGCTATGATAAGGAAGAGTGCGGCTATGTTGCTTCAACCCTGATGATGATCGTTAAACATTTGCTGTAACTCGCAAGTTCTTAGACGAAATCGATGAAAGTCGCAAGGTTTCTCTTTCTAATTTTTAAGATAAATATGGGGTTTCGTGTGATTTTGATTTTTTTTTTTCAGATTAAAACAGCTGGATTCTTCAAGGGGGTGTATGTGATTGTTTATCTAAAATTTTCTTACTATTTTTTATTAAAATCATTTAAAAAGCTAAATTAAGAGGTTTAAGAGAAATTAACTTATAGCTTATTACCTGATAGGCTATAGGTGTGTGAGAAAACAGTTTTTACAAAAATATTTGGATTAAAAATATTTGGAGAAGTTTTTAAAATTAGCTTATTTAGCTTATTTCCACCACAATAAACTGATTTTTAATGTTTTTCTATCTAAACATTTAAACTTAGCTTATAGTGGTGGGGATAAGCAATAAGTTATAAGTTTTCTCTATTTTTCCCTATTCAAACACCCTCTAAATATTTATAAAGTTTGAATTTATAAGAAAAATAATAAAAATATTAAATTATTAAAATTAAAGTGTTTTTTTTTAATTTAAACAAAAAGTTTAGATAAATAAACAAAGAAAAATAATGAGGCTTTAATTTAGAATTTTTAAAATTAGAAAAGAAAATCGATTAATAAAATTAATTCGTATGCATTTATTATTACATTTTATTACATTTAAATATTAAATGAAATTTAATAAAATGGAGAAACCATAAAATGACATGTGAAAAAAATGAATGAAATTGTGACATGTGGCAAAAAATATTTTTATTTATTAGAGTAGACTAGGTGTGAGACCTGTAAGTTAAACATGAAAGGATGAAACGTATTTATTGCAATTTATTACTCCCTCCGTCCCAATATTATTGTCCACAGACAAAAAACATACATATTAAGAAAAGCATTAATTGTCACTAACTTTATTTAATAAAATGACAGTTTTGTCCTTACTTTGCATTTAATGTTCCATTAAATGCTTAGTTGGTTAAGTAATAATGAGGGGGTATTTTGGTAAAAATGTTATTTATTTTTAGAAGTGGACTATTATTTTGGGACAAACCAAAGAGGAAAGATAGACTATAATTTTGGGACGGATGGAGTATCATATTTATTACATTTAATACATTACATATATAAATAGAAGTATTGTGTGACTTTTTAAAATTAAAAATTAAAAAAAAAATCAGAATTTGATATGTGAATATTATTTATTTCTAAAATACCATAAAATGACAAGTATCAAAACTCATGAGAGATTGATATATGGCAGAAAAAATCTTTGTTTATTAGAGTGGACTAGGTGTGAGACTCATAAGTTAAACATGAAAGAATGAAACGTATTTATTGCAATTTAGTATCATATTTATTGCATTTAATACATTACATGTATAAATAGAAGTATTGTGTGACTTTTTAAATTTAAAATTTATAAAAAAAATCATAATTTGATATGTGAATATTATTTATTTCTAAAATACCATAAAATGACAAGTGTCAAAACTCATGAGAAATTGACATATGGCAGAAAGAATCTTTGTTTATTAGAGTGGATTTGGTGTTGCTAATAAAACCAAGGTTAATAAAATCAGATTCTATCTAATATCGTTTTATGTTTTGTAATATTGTAATCGTATTAGACTATAATTGGAAGATCCTATCAAAGTTATATTCATCAAATTTGTTCGTAAGGTTTTGTTTGTGCGGTACATATTATAATTTGATGTTAATTAAAAGGTTATTGTCATTGTAGCCCAACTATCTTTCGTATTTTGGTTTAAATGGTCCCTCGTAACTATTTTTTGCATTGAAAGGGCTTGTGCTTGTATTTTACCGGTCATTTTGGTATTTTACCCACATTTGAAGGTAAGACTACTGTGTCGAGTGCCAAGTGGGTGAGCCAACATTGAGTCGTTGACGAGTCGACTTGTCTTCCACCTAAGCCGGTAGTTAATGCATGCATTTAGTTCTACCAACTCACCAACTTGTAACGTCCGCAACTACAGGCTAGACATTTAAGATATAATAGATGATAATTATAATATAAATCCTTGATTGGGATTATCATTAGTCACACACGTTGCAGACTACGTATTATAAAGTCA